AGAAGTGGTTTAAGCTACATTTTTTTCCAAATAATTTTTATTTAATTTATTTTTGTAGTACGATACACCAACCCACAATTCTAAAATGACAAACCCACAATTCTAAAAACGATTTAAGAAAAACACCCACACACACACATATATATACGTATTTACACACTATACACACTCGCAGTGACAGCGATTTATATACAAGCAAACCAAAATATCGGTGGAAATATCTTTCTATAAAACTAAAAACTCATTAAAAAAAATTATTAAAGTTTGTGAAAAATTTCAGCACATCTAAATAAGCAAAAATAACAAAAAAAAATACAAAAATTAAAAAATAGTACTTAACTATGTAAAACTCATTCACTAACTGATTTAAGAAAAAGTTCATTCAAGTTAAACTACTAAGCATAAAAGTAAATAATTATTTATACACACACATATATTATAACATAAAAGTTCATTACATTGCTAATTACAACTAAATAGCATTACAAAAAAAAAATGAAAAATAAAAAAAACAGCAAACAAAAAACTAATTCATAATAAAATAAACAAGTTGCGCGTAATAAATAAAACTAATTTAAATTAATAATAAAACAAAAATGATTATCGTATATTATTACAAAAAAAAAAATATCTATATACAATTAAGTCTAAGTTGGTAAAGTGAGGGCGAAAAAAAAAACATTATAGAACCATAAACAATGAATTAAAAACAGGTGAAAGGTGAAGTTGAATGATTATGAAGCTGAAGGTGTATTAAAATTATAAAAATTAAAATAAAAAATTTAAAAAAATTAAAAGTTGTCTTGTCAGTTTATTGAAAATAATCAAGGATTTTTTGGTATGTATTCATACTACACTATCGCCCTCCCTCAATCCATATAATGGCAAATAGTCAGCAAAGTCGCTGAATACTGAAAAGTTCATCTACTCTTCCACTGCTATCTCCCTCCCACCAAGTAACGGTTTCGCACCATCTTTATTATAGTGAATAATGCACACCCTCGGAGACGCCATACAGTGTTCACCAAAGGCGCTACTAGTAGCAGCAATATCGAAGAAGACCCGAATGAGTCCCTCCGCCATAGCGAGCAACAATTGGAGCTATGCCCAACCACTTTATGGCGGAGTTTTGAGGAAGGATCTCAATTTACGTTTCTACAAAATCCAACTCGTGCAAGAACTGAAGCCGAACGATTATCAAGCGCGTCGCACGTCATAAGCCGAGTTTAACCGGTGTTCATCTCTATTTTTCCAAGAAAATTTTGGTCACCTTTGATTGAACGAGTGCGTTAATAAACGAAATTTTCACTTTTGGAGTGATGATAATCGACAAGCCATTGCTGAGACGCCGTTTGCGTAATCAACAAGAGTCATTCTTTGGTGTGCTTCATGAGCAGAGGGAATCATTGGGCGGCGTCTGGTTCCAACAAGACGACGCTAAACGATTACAGCCAACGAATCAATCAACCTTTCGGGAGTATACTATCTTGCGTCGTGGCCTTCCAGGTCTTGCAATTTAACACCGCTGAACTATTTTTATGTGGGGGTCATATGAAGTCGTTCATCAACGCTGATAAGCCTCAGGAAGGATTACTCGCTTTGTTAAACAATATTCGGTGCTTTATTGCTGACAAACCGCACCAGTTGCTGCAAAAAGTGGTCGAAAATCACTGGATTTTATTTCAGCTAGTTTATTTTTGTATTAAAGCCAAATTCTTTCTTCGTGAAACCAAGATGTCTAAAGAAAACCTTTAATAATAAGAATTATCGAAAGCAATTTCTGTGAGATGCCGCCTCTTTTCATAGAATCTTCGAGCACCAGCCTGGTCGGCAGCATCTCAAACTCTACAAACTCACGCATTTCGGCCTCTCTAGTTTTTTTTGTCTACGAATGCATTTTGCTCACCTCTTCAGCGGAACAATTTTTGGTCACCTCTTTAATATTAGTCTGTCTCTTTTCTCTCATTAATATTAGTCTGTAAGACTAACTTCATACTAATTTTAAGAACTGCTCAGAAACAACTCTCAATCCCCCAAGTGTCGTCTCACCTTCTACGCCTCAGCAGCATTCGGTGGAAGAACAAATTTTGTATTTTTTCCTCCAGAGATCTTTCCATTTGAATATGGAAACTTTTTGTTGGATACCAGGACGTATTTATTTCTTGATTAAAATATCCATTCGCTTTGGGTTTCGGAAAATTGACCACTTGGGAGCAATCAATTTAATCGCAAGCATTGAGAAACTGAAACTTTATCCATCTTTATATTTTGGCAGATCTGCAATAGATAGTAGGCTTCAGCAAAAGAAGAATTCATATTTAGTCAGTTAACCCAGCAGTCATTGGTACTTAACTTTCACTGAAGAGGCATTGACGTCAGGGGCTCAATAATTTTTCGGCGGTAAGGTATGCCTATCTTAGGAGGCGACTGAAATCCAAAAGTTTCCGCAAAAATACGCCAAGGAATGTTTTGGGGCATACTTTTGCGACTGCATCAACAACAACAGCAACAGCAGCGAAGTCCATGGAATAGATGAAGAACTGACGTATTTACAAAGCAGAACATAAATATGAATCTGTTTAGGCTCTTATATGTGAAAAGGGATGAAGAATATTAGAGGAAAAAGGTCAGCCTACAAGCTATTTGTAGGACTACTATTCTTCAATTGAAGGCCACAACAAGGTCGGTCTCATCATATCATCATACGACCATGACGCTGGTACTGCATCGAAATCTTTCAAAGCTGAAGCTTTCTTATTCATCCGTACCGTCATAACCTAGCCAGCGCAGTCGCTATCTCTTTATATGCTAAACTATGTGATTATCGCAATACGTGTATTGTATATCTTCGTTCCTAAGGCTGAGTTATTCGTCGTTCGCACAAAACTTACGCAAACTCTTTTCCTCGAAAACTGCCGACTCATCAAATGTTCACCCCGTCCATGCCTCTGCACCATATAGCAGTACTGGAACGATGAACGACTTCTAGAGTTTGATCTTCATTCGTTGAGAGAGCACTTTATCCACAGTCATTTCGTCTTGCGCTCGTTCACTACCAGACTAACGTCTTTCGCTTCGTTTTAAACTCTGGAGCAAACAGAAGTCATTGGTACCGTACAGCTTCGAGCGATCTTTCTCGATCATAGCGGAGCTATTGGTGTTTCTTAAAGTCAGTTTACTCTTACATAGTCGTATAAGCTTTGCGGAGATAGCGGTGTAGATGAAGCTCCGTTTCCTGATTTCGAAGACTGCTTTAAAATCGGCGGGTCATTTCGCATCTTGAATATCTGATCAATAGTTGACTTACCAGGTCTAAAGCCACACTGATAAGGTATAATCAGTTTGTTGACCACGAGCTTTAGTCTTTCACACAATATGCACGAAAGCGTCTTATGTGCGATATTAAGAAGGCTTATTCCACGATAATTGGCGCAGATTATGGGATATTATATTTTATGGATTGGACAAAGCACGCTTGGTTTCCAATTATACTTTGAAAAAGAGCCAATGCATGCACCTTTCCAGTTCTTCACAGCCATATTTGAGTAACTCGGCCGGTAATCCATACATTTCTTCCCTCGTCATCGATTGAGACATCGGTTTAGCCATCTCCTGGTATTAAACTTTTTCTGCCGTACAGCAGGCAGGAGAAGTGTGGAGAGGGCTCTACTAGTATTATTTCGCGTCATTTTCAGTACTGGTTTACAAGCTTTCAAAAGTGACAATTTCGACTGAGACGACAGAGAACGACCCAGACAGCCAAAAAATTTCAGGACGACGAATTGGAGACATTGCTCAAGAAGAACATGCTAAAATATTATGATTTGATACCAGATGGTTAAAATCATTCATCCATAAGCTTGGAAATTGGGTGTCTTATGAATTAAAGCCAAGCGACGTCGAACATCGATTCTGCATGTCAGAAATGTTGCTTCAACGCCACCACAAAAAGTAATTTTTGCATCGAATTGTTACTGGCGATGAAAAATGGATTCTTTATGATAACCCAAAATGCAAGAGCTCGTTTGTGAAGCCCGGCCAACCATCGACATCCACTGCAAAGCCGAATATCCATGGTGCCACAAGCGTGTGCTCTATTATGAGTTATTGAAATCGCGTCAGACGATCAATGTGGACCCCTACCAAAAACAATTGATACGTTTGAAAAAGGCCATCGCGGAAAAACGATCAGAATATGCGACCAGACACGAATCAATAATTTTTCATCATGACAACGCTCGGCCACATGTTGCAAGGCCAGTTAAAAACTAGTTAAAAAACTGTGGGTGGGAAGTTCTAACTCACCCGCCTTATAGCCCAGACATAGAACCTTCCGATTACCATTTGTTCAGATCGATGGAGAATGACCTCCCAGGAGTACGCTTCATTTCAGAAAAGGGTATTAGAAATTGGCTCGATTCTTTCTTGACCTTCCAGCCGGAGAACTTCTTTTGGGATGGGATACACAAACTGCCAGTAAGATGAGCAAACATCCTAGCTTCGGATGGGCAATACTTTGAACATTAGATGTACAATAATTTTTTCATAAAAAAGTTTAATTTTCGAAAAAAAACCGCAGGAATAATGAATAAATTCAGTATACTTGGGAACATTTGTTACTCTAGATTACCTCTTTCTGTCTCGCTTATCTAATGATTATCCTCTGAGGTTCTTGAACACTTAATACATAATCAAAATATTAGCTCACTTGAAGGAGCTGCAAAAGTACAAATATTTACAGAGCTACCTACACCTCAGTGCTATGAAGTGTGATGGGACATTTTAGTACCGATGGAAGACTAAAATTATGAAATTTGTGTGTAAAAACTTGGCGGACTCATTGCAAAAACACTATTTCTGTTGAGTTATTAAACTGTTCATTGTATAAAATGCGCCTAAATATAGGCAACAACTGTGAAGAATAAAAAATGCACTATTTTTAACATATATTTCAAAATTTTCTTGCTTTTATTATATTTTAAATTTTCTTTTGAACTTATTTAATAAACTAAAATTAAATTTAATTCTATTTTTGTTAATTATATTATCTAACGGTGCTCGAGCATTTTGTTAAGATTAAAAACTTATATACTTAATAGATATTAGACTAAAAATTGCGCTAAGATTTTACAAAATATGACTACTTAGATTATTTTTGGTAAAAGCCCAATTAATACAAAACTTAAAATCGAATAGTAACTAATTTCTCATCGAGAGCTTAAGTACTGTGTATGTAGTTCTTATAAAAAACAGCAAAACTTAAATAAATAATATAAGCCAACATAAATATAAATTCAATATACTATAGCTATGGCAGCGATTTAGGTTAGATGAGCATTTGAGCAATAAGATAAAGAGTAAAATGCAAAAAAAAAAAAAAAAAAAAAAATTAAATAAAATGCTTTGCTTAAAACTACGTTAATGAATACATGAAATGATGATGAAAAGTGAAATTGTAGAATTTTGTTTTTCATAATGAATTTTCAATTAATATGAGCCATTTGAGACAAAAAAAATAAAAAACTTAATGTACAAATGCGATAATACAGTGATGCTTAAAAGCTCTGCTGATGACGTCAGCGACGCAAATATTCAACTACCGACAGCCACACGACTCGATGACCATATTCGGAAATGTTTTCTGTGTCGCCGTATTATTGCTGTCCATAAAGACGAGCTGCAGCGAAGAATACTGTTTGGCGGTACAGCAAGGTACAAGCTCCAGCGGCTTGCTGCCCGAATTGCGACGCGACAAAGCAATTTTCTGTAATGGAAAAGCGAAAATTATTTTTTCATTCATTCACACGACTGGCATAAAATGCGCACATGAGCTAGCTGCGTACATACCTGCAAGAAAGCACTATGATGCGTCGCCGACTGTGCCACACTGGCCACACTGCCGCAAGAGCCACGACAAAAGTATGCGTCATAGCCACGCGGCTGTATAATCCAATCACCCCAACCGATCTCATCGAATGAAATGTAGAGCTTCTCACGGCAACACTCCGTCACGCCATCCGTGCAATTGATGCCACGCTTTTGACGTGAAGCACGACGACGATTCTGTGTATCGACCATAATGAAGGGACGATAATCCTTATTTATCGATATCATTTCCTCCATTGAGGCCATATCGCAAGTACGACAAGAAATCTGTATCAGATGACTGAGATCGTGATTGCCGAACCAACGTTTAATCGGCCATTCAATATCGATCTTCATCCATTCGTCTGCAATGAGAAGGAGAGAGACATGATTTAAATATGTATTTTGCGAACGAAAATATTTTTGAAAATTAAATTAAAAAAAAAATATATAATTAATTAATTTTAATTATTGTTTGTGTAAGATTTTATTTTAAAACTAACCAAAACAAAATTTATGAAAATAAATATTAAAAAAAAAAATTATAAAAATAATTGTATGCATGTATTTAAATAACGCTAAAAAAATCAGCCGGAACTATATTTTTTTTTTTTTTACTTTCCAGAAGTATCACTTTCGCAATCGAACAGCCTTTTGCCATATAACTGATTAAAAAAAATCTATTATTATAGTATGAGCTAATTTCCTAAGACTATTGCCATCAGGCCGCTATCATAAGGTTAATAAAATATATTTTTAATGTGCTCTCATGACATATTCAATAACTTTTAATACGCATATAATGTAATTAAAAAATTTTTCATGCATTTTATTTTTAATTAGAAACATAGAGATTTTTAGAAAGCTTTTGGCCTTCACCAATGAAAACAAGTATAAGAAAGCTCATTTATACGTTTTAAAAATATTTAAAAGCTCCACTGGAAAGCTTTATCTTTTTTAATATATGTAAGCTTTTGCGCATTTTATTCAAAGCTGCGGTAATATAGAGTTTTAATAATAACAATTATATAGCTCGGTAATATATATATAATTTCTTTAATTTTTTATTACATTTAAAGTTTTATTTTATTATAATTACCATTAAAAGCAATTAATTAAGTGCAATTTTGCCTATATTAATAAATAAAATAAAGCTTGCTCAAGCTTAAAAAAGCTCTTGAACTCATAAGTGAAAAAATTACATATAAATATTATGTGCATATGCACATAGAATACATTTCAAAGCTCCGCCGAAAGTGCCATCATACTATTATATGAAAGCTCTTTCGCCTTTTATTGAAAGCTGCGGTAATAAGAGCTTTTAATTAATAAATTTTTTATATATTATATATGTCTACAGGCATTGAATACTCAAAGACTTCACTGAAAAGATTATACCGCCTGTCTTACAAAAGTTTTTGAAGCTGAATTAATGTGTCTACTAACATATGACAGCTTTCCTACACTTTAATGAAAGCTCGGTAATAATAAATAATATAAAACTAATTTATAAATAAATAAAATTTATAACTTCTATAATATTATTTGAAATCAATATGTTGGAAAATATTGTAGATATAAATTTAAAGCTCAGTAAATTGTATTTATGGCAAAAATATATTATTAATAATTTTCTTATAAATTTAAGTTTAATATTGAAAAAAAAAATTTATTTTCATTTTTTTGAAATAAATTTTTTTTTTTCCATTTTTTTAATAAAATAAATAAATATTGCAATATTTTCAAATAATTTTTTTTTTATTAATATTTAAATGAAATGCATTTTTATTTTTTTAATAAAGTTTTTTTAAGACTTTATAAAAAAATATTTCCAATAATTCAAATATATTTTTTCATAATTTTTTTAAATTTTTTTTATAATTTTTTTATAATATTTTTCATAATTTTTGGAATAATTTTTTCATAATTTTTTGAAAACTTTTGTTCTCATAATTTTTGAAAAAATGTGGTCTCATAATTTTTAAATAAAAGCTGCCTTCATTTATTTCTAAATGATTTGTATTATTATTTTTTAAATAAAATTTATTTTCACTTTTTTCAAAAAACATTATTTATATTCTTTTTTACTTGTTATTTATTTTCACAATTTTTAATTAAATATTTTGTCATTTATTTCAATCAAATAATAAATAAAAAACCTTCTAAAGAAAAATTTTTTCATCATTTTTTTTAAATAAATTTTAGTTTCATAGTTTTTTAAGAAAATGTATTTTCATAATTTTTTATTTATATATTTTTCAATTAGTTAATGAAACTTATTTTAATAATTTTTTTACAGAGAATCGTTTCCATTATTTTTTTAAGAAAATGTATTTTCAATACCATTTTTCAAAACAATTGATTTTAATTATTTATTCTATTTTTTTTTTTTTTTTTGATTCGAAACACTTACATTTTTATTGTGAAAATATTTGCTTTTACTTTCTACAGAATAACGAGTCAATGCAAAAACAACTTTCTTATTTTATTTATTTATAATTTATTTTAGTTTTGTTATTTGGTGTTTTGTATTCTTATTTGCTTTGATTTGCTTTACACCTATTTTTTTTATATTTTTTTTTTTAAATAAAGTTTATTATTTTTTAATTTGAACACTTTCACTGTTATTGTAAAATTATTTATTTTATTTTTTTACGTTTTACAGTGATATTTATTTATTTTGTTGTATTAAGACTATAATACATTTATATATATATATATATATATTTATGTATGTTAATACATTATAGCTGGAAAACAACTTTTTCTATTTTATTTATTCAAAAATTAATTTTTTTGTCTTTGTTTAATGTGTTTTTTTGTTTGCTTTTTATTTTAATATTTTTACATATTTTTCATATTTATTTTATTTATTTATTTTTTTTTTTGCAAGCAAAATGACTTTTCAGCAAATTGCTGCAACAACAAAATCCGTCTGCCTATCAGTAAAAATACAATATTTATTTGAGTTTGAGTTTTGTTTTTTATTATTTTTGCACACTCTTATTAATCGGCGAAAGTCCGAAAGTGACAACCTGACATGTATGTACGTATGTATGTACGTATGTATCGCGGGGCACTTTTATTTGGTTGGGAACAAATGTAATGTGGCGAAGCTGTACTCACGTACATACATTTCAGTTTGTATATATATTACATACATACATATATGTAAGTATATATCACTTCAATGTGTTTTCATATTTCAGAAGAAAAGCTAATAAATTCACACGCCTGGCTAAAATTTGTCTAAAAAAAATACTTATATGTGTTTATGTATGTACATATATGATTTCAACAAATTTGTACAGGATTTCGCATTTTAATCTCGCATTTAGTTTCATTGACTTTTCGATTAAAAATGACACTTGAGAGACCCCCATGTTATGCAAAACCCATTAAATATAATATATATACATATTTTTTTCGATTACAATGCCTTTGTAACAAAAAAGAATACGCACACAGACACCATACTTATATACATATGTACATATATATTATTTTTCGGCAATCATTGCTTACAATACATATTTATGGTATTTTTATTTGGATTTTTGTGCTTAAATCACTTGCTTTTCATGCACTAAAATATACATATTTACAAAATACATACATATGTATATGTATAAAATGTTCTATGGCAAATTGTTACTGCTTCATAAAACTTGTTATTATTTGATTGCTTTCAGTGATAATATTTGAACTGCTAATAATCATTTTTTACTAAAGAAATATGTTTAAAGAAGTATGTTTAAAGTAAAAAAAAATTTTTTTTTTTTTCAAAATAAGCAAATTTTGCGTTCTAAATAATTTTTAGCTATTAAAATGGAATCTGCATGTATACAAATATACATTCTATATCTACAATCGTTAAAACGTTGTGTGACGCATATTTTTTTACTCGTAAGAAACTGTGCCGAATATTATTTTTTTCCAGGCATTGTTCTGAAATATTAATTCTTATCTCTAATTAAGCATTAAAATGCTTAAAAAAATATAATTATATATTGTGCAAACATGTTAAGGGGATTATTGTGAACATCGCATAAGTCAATGTTATCGATTTAAAGCTTACATTTCCTTGTACATGTTTATCGAATGTCAGAAATCATACATTTCCTAGTAGACAGCGGGCGAAGTGATAAGTGAAAGCCGCGCAGATTTTTTATTAATGAACTCAATATAGATAGGTGAAAATAAGATATAGTCAATATTATAATTGAAAACTGAGAGTACCGCACTGAACACTACCAGCGGCTTTCAAACTGTGAATGCTTGTTGCTTTAACAAATATCATTGAATTTGCAGTCGCTTCAAAACTGTAGTTGTTAATATTTATTTTATTTTATTTATTTTGATTCATTTTATTTTATTTAATTAATTTTATTAATTCATATCAAAGTGTATAACAATTTAATTTTATTGAAAAAATTTATTTTTATTTTTGATATTTATTATATTTCAGTATATTAGAGTATAGTAATTTTATTCAAAAAAGTCAAAAGCATTGTTCATTGTTTCACAACACGCAGCAACACAGTTTTTTTCTTCAAAAATATGTGAATAGCTTTGTGCGTGTCAAAGTGTATAATAATTTAATCTCATTAAACTAATAAAATTTGTATTTTTTCATTGATACTCATTATTTTGGTCTATGGCAATTTCAAAGCATGGTTTTGAAAATTTCTAATTAATTTCGATTTTTTTACGATATTAAATAATAAATTTTTTTTTCTCAAAAAATGTGAGTAATTTTCTATGTGTCAAAGTGTAAAATAATTTAATTTTGTTGATAAGTTTAATTGTTTTATTTATTACCAATAATTCATCATTTCAGTGCATAATAGTTTACTTTAAACAAATTTTAACATGTTTTGAAAACCTTTGAAATTATAAAGCGTCAATAAATTGTTTTTGAATATTATAATATAAAGTAAAAAAAAAGTTCAAATATACATACATACCTAAATATAATGATTTGTATTAAATATGTGGTACTAAATGGTTACATAAGTTTTTTAAATATTTTTTTAGTATATTTTAGAAATTTTCTAATTTTATTTGGTTTTTATTTCAATTTTATTTTAATGTAATACTCAATATTAATATTTAATTTTACTCTTTATTTAATATATAATTATTTTATTTAATTTGAATTAAGTTTTCTTCACACTCACCTTGCACATCGATCGATTGTATGGCAATCGTTTTCACCACAGGCAAATATGTCGGATCTGTACTCTGTTGCACTTCGGAGACGACAATGGTTTGCGGTGTTAATTTCGTATGTTTACGTCTATGCGAGCGTTTACTTTTACTCTTAAAGAGCCAGAGTACGGCGGTGCTTACATCGAAGCCGTCCGCATCGGCATCGTCGATCTTGAAAGAGAAGCACATGGAAGAATTTGTGCCCAAGCGTTGGCATTCGTTTCTTTCTGTAAAAAAAGTATACATTTTGATGCAATTAAATTAGAATTGATAAGAAAACATAATATAAAAAAATTCAAAATTAAATTGTTTTTATTAATAACAATTTAATATTATTTAAAATATTTAAATAACACATTTAAAAAAAAAAAAAGTCCCCCACACTCACCTCGCTGCAGGAATATGAATTTTTTACTCGTACGCGCATAATAATCATCGACATTATTATTTTTTGCGCTATCATCCTCCTCCTCTTCGATGGTTGTGCCCTCATAGATGGGTTTGGGCAAAGCCACCGCCGAAACATTCGGTCGCTCCTTCAAGCGTAATTTCTCCAAAATTTGTTGCTTTACATACTCTATACGCAACTGCGTCAGCTCCTCTTCGCTAATGTGCTCCACACGCCGACTACTCTCACATTTCGGGCAATCAGCTTTCGCTTTGTGCCGATGATGATTTTTATGTGCAGCCTCTATGCTCTCTGCCGACTCCGCCGATGCTGATTCTAATGAATTACTTTCCTGTTCCTCGTTCGTATTCGGCGCCGCTAATTCATCAACTGAATTGTCATCGTCATGCGACGTGTGTGTAAGTGGCGGCAGCGTTACATCTAAACGCTGTGGCTCATCACTGTAATCGTACGGCGCATCGCCGAGCATTACATCAGCGGTGCCACCACCACCTAAATGCTGCCAAATGCGTGGCATGCGCATGTTGAAGAGTGCATTTGGCGAGCCTGGCGCCTCGTCCACCATCTCTGCCACATCTTCTTCTTCTTCTTCATCTGTTTGTTGTGCTTCTAAATGCCGCTCCAGCGAAGCTGCGCTCAACTCCGACTGCTTGCGTTGCAATACCTGCTGATGTTTACGCAGATGTGCCTCTTGATACGCCATGTGACGCTGTAGGTGCACGTAACGTCGCAGCGCCGCCTCAGCTTCTATACGCTCTGCGCGCTCCTCGGCGCTACCTATGCTGTCTGGCGGTACATTCTCCTGCCACGAGGACTGTCGTATGCGTCTCGCTTTCGCAACACGCGGTCGATTGTTCTTCACATGATGTGTACGTTTGTGTTGTGGTTGTTGTACTGTTTGCGTTGGCATTAGTTGGCGATTGTGTTGTTGTGCTGATGGTGGCATATAATTGGTAATGGGTTGTTGTCGGCTGTCGTGGTGGGCGTCGTGTGCTGTTTGTACGTCACTGTGATGACGTCCATAGGTGATGCTGTGATCGAGCGCGATGAATACGATCAATATGAAGAGTATGAAATATTTTGCCATTGTTTTTGTGTTGTTGAGTGTGCGTTTTATAAACTTTAGTGTTTAAATAAATTATCTCTAATAAAATATTTCAAATATTTTTTGCTGTGATTGCTATTTTCCTTTTTTTTTTTGGTTTAATTAATTCACTTTTTATTCACTATCTTTTTGGTAGCATTAAAAATCCAACTTTAGTCCGTTGTTGTTTTAAGAACATAGAGAATTTTTTCACTACAGTTTTTAGTTGAAATTTGCTTTGATATTGCTATGTTTTTGTGTTTCTGTTAACGCAAATTCATTTGAAAAATAAATAATATTAAAGCACTTGTAGTTCTTTTCTTTTCTGCACAAGAGTTTTTTGGGTTTTTTTATTTAGAATTCGCTCTTGGTTAATGTGTCATGGATATGCAACTGAAAAGGAAATAAAAGAGAAAAATCATTAAAAAAAATTAAAATTGAAATTAAAAATTAAAAAATTACACTGCAGATAAACTTAGATGGCTAAGATAAATTTATTAAATTTATAAATTAATTTAAAAAAAACTTAAGGAAAAAAACTTATATATCATCTGAAGCTCCCAAATAAAAATACAAAACCATTTCATTTTGTTAAAATAAAAAACATACTTAACGACAGGATTTTGTTTTGCTTGGGTGGCATTTTATCGTAGCAAAATGAAATTGTTATTGTTGGAACGCACAGTGTCATCATTAATGTTAACTTTAAAATGGCTGCATCCAATGATATTAACTGCACATTTCAATTTCAGCATTTAACATTATCTGTTAACGATTTAACATTATCTGTCAACGATTTAACATTATCTGTTAAAGCTTTAACATTAACGACAGTATTTTGATTCGGGCATAAACGTTGTAAAATTTCTTTCGATAACTGTTTTAACGATAATATTTCCAAATGTTTCAACCGAATCGATTAAAATTTTTTGTTAAATTAATTAATAGTTACGATTTACAATCAAACTACAATATATAATATGAGTTATTGGTGTTTTATAGCCATTTGAACAATTATTGACTTCCAGAGATACCTGTTGTTTTAAACCGTCTGCGTAGAGCTAAACGAACTTTATTATAAACAATTTTTTTCTTACAAAAACACTTAAAGAAGTATCAATGATCAGCTGCCAAACGAAAAGTAACAATAAGCCACATATACAGCATATACAAATGTAAAAAAATTAGTAAAAGATGTTAAATAATAATTTGTATTAAATAGCATAACTTTTAATTAAACTTTAAATCAATAAATTGAAATTTACTCAACCCATTTTTAAGATTATTTTTTATATGAATGTGTTTTTTTTTTTTGCAAAAAAAATTACACACTGCAATAAAGTTGCTAATTTAATTATTACTTTTACATTTTCAGTCCATTTTTTTAAGTATTTTTTTTTAGTTTAATGTCTATGTATTTTCTGAAAAAGTCATAGTTGAATACAAAATCTTTTTAATTCTTAATTTTAATTTATAATTTTGTATTTTTATTATTTTTAAGTAAATTCATATTCATAAAACGTCTTTTTGGTCGAGTCCAATTTTTTAATTATTTTTTTCTTCTATATATTTTTGAATGAGTTTTTTTTAATTGTATTTAATTTTGAAATCTTCGCCTACTATTTTTTTAAGTAATTCTATTTATATTTTTTTTTATTTTATGCAAATGTGTAATTTAAAAAATAATAATTATAGTTAGCCCAAATTTAATTTTTTCTAATGACTCTCATGGAATGAAATTAATTTCAAAAAAAAAAATTCAATACATAAAAAATAAAGTAAAATCAATAAAATTAGTTGAATCCCATACTTTCAGTACATTTTAGAATTTTATTTGCATTGTGTTGTATAGAACACCATTCCATTTAAATCCCAAAAATAATATTTATTTTTTATTTTCTAAATACATATAAATGAATTTGAATAATTTTTCATTATATAACGTTCTTCAAATCTTTTTTAATGTTTTTATTTTATTAAATTAAAATTATTTTTTTTTAATGCAAACAAATAATTTATTTTTATATATTGTATGCGTATATCTTAATGGCTATTTTAAACTTGATTAATTTTACTTAATTTTGAAATTTTTCGAGTAATATAATGAATTTTTATTTTTTTTCCTAATTTCATTGAATTTAGATTTCTCTATGCATATTAATCTTCAATTTGTTTGCTATCTTTTTTGGTGATTTTTTATTTTTTATTTACTATATATAAGCTTCGTAATTGTTTTAAATTTTATTTAATTTTCAAATTTTCAATTTTTTGCACTAATTTAATTGATTGAATTTTAAAATTCGTTTAATTTAATTTTTATTGTTTGTAATTAGATAGTTTATATTTTTTCAATTTGGCTGCCAGTGGAAAAATTAAATTTTTTAATGTTTTTATTTTTTTAAATTAAAATTATTTTTATAATGCAAATAATTTACTTTTTTTGTGTATTACATACATACATATTTATAGTTATTTAAAACTTTATTTATTTTATTAAATTTTAATTTTTTTTTCGAGCAATGTAATGAATTTCAATTTTTTTTTAATATATTGAATTTTTATTCTTTTTATACATATTAATTTTCAATTGGTTTCTAATTATTTTATCTTGTGAAACTTTAAATTTTTTAATTAATATTAATATATTAATATAATAATAATATATATTATATAATCGTAATTATTTTGAACTTTATTCGCCTTTCAAATTTATTTAGTTTGGTTTTAATTTTTTTTAATTAGTTAATTAATATTTTTTCAATTTAGCTGCCAGTGGTAAGTTCGACCATTTAATGTCACTAATCGTGATATTTATTTTAAATTTTACTTTAGTTTATTTATACACTTGACGTGCTAGTTTTTTTTTTTTTTTTGTTATTTTTTTTTTTTTTTTGTTATTTTTTTTTTTTTTCTTAATATTCAAATTGTTATCACCAAACCAGTTAATGCGCATTAAAAAAATTTTTCGCGGTCGCATGTCGATCAAACGTGTGATTAAAATAATACTATCAGCGCATATACACATACACACGCACAGCTCATTTAATTGCATAAAAATTTTCTCGGAAGGATTTTGTGCTTGCCAGCTGAGCATTTTTCTTTCTTAAATAGTCGCAATTTCTTATAAGCAAATAATTTTTAAAATTCACAAAATTTTAATTTTTTACCAGTATATGTATTTTTATATTATATAACATAATTTGAATAGTATATAGATATATATATTTTTAAATCACTACCTCAAATAATATTTTTATTTCATATTAAGCGGTAGCTGGCGAGGAACTTTTTTTTAGAAAATAAAATGTTTTAACTTCACTTGCTACAATTTTAATATGTTTGTATGTATGTATATATATACATATATTTATTTCTTACAAAAAACTAAACACGCTCAATTACACAAATTTATAGCTTTTTAAACAGACATCACCGCCACGACACGCGTCTTGTCTCCTTGCAAAACTTTTGATGAATGAGTTGACAGGCAAACCAGCTCAATAGTTTTATTAATAAACTCCCAAGCGACAACCGTATGCCGTCACTACTATGCTTAAAGCACTTTGTATATATGAATACGTATATGTATGTGCAGCGGCGAGACAATCACTGCTGTCTACACATACGCCCTTTGGTTTACTTACGAACAGCCCACCGGCGCTTTTACATATGTACATATGTACATTCGGAGGTACATACATACTTTCGTATGTATATACATACATACCTATTTGTACTATGTAGATGTATGTACATTTACAAAAAGTAACATTCAATTGGTTTGTCGGTAACTAAACTACAACATGAGTGTTTATAAATTCGTAAGTATGTATGTACATGTCTTAGTATTAAGTGTTTAAGTATGTTTGTAAAAAAAATTGAAATGAAAATCAAAATAAGAAAATACAAGCTTGCACTATGCAAGCAGAGAGCGATTACCTTTCGTCATGAAATTACTAATGAAATTGCATCAGCTACCAAAGGCGCGCTGAGCGTGTGAGCGCTTGGCCCAAACATTGAAAATTATGTGGATATACACAAATGCCATATGTACATACATATAAATATGAACTATTGCAGATTGCGTTGCAATTTATTGTAGTGCTGAAATGTTTGTATGTATTTTTTTTTTGTTGTAGCTGAGGGGCAAGCAGTTAGTGAATAAAAGAGATCGTCAAACATTCTTGCATTTTACCGCAAGCATACATACGCTACTGTGCAGTTTCAGTTTTAAATGCATATAAACACGTTGTATGTACATATAAATATGTATAATTATATGTGTGTTTGGTATGTACATTCGCAATGTAATAAATCGAATATCGAACGTCAGCCGTCAGCCGTCAGACGATCGTGATATGCTTGAGTCGCTAGCCAAATCGTTGACTAGCTCGAGCTAACTCACATTACCAAACACAACACAGACAACGGTGAGAGACGAAGTCGACCACGACGATGCACGACGTCAACGTTGCAGCAACATATAAAAACTGTGAAGAAAAAAATGACAAAATTTATGCAGACGTTGGCAAAATTGCACTGAGTAACTGAGCAACGGAAGGAAAAAAGGTGAACGAAATTAATGTAGCAAAAAAAAAAAAAAAACAAATATGCATGTAGGTGAGTATGTAAGTGTGCGCGCTGCTATAATTATATCGCCCGAAAGAATTTGCAATTCGTGGCGCTAACTCTGTCATACACGTTTCTGTGCTATTTATAATGACACCCTCAAGCAATGGATGCATTCAAGCATACTATTTAATGTGCATGGCGCGCTCTTACATAAATATGTACATACATAATTCACCTAATTTAATTTATTCACTTACTTTTGTATTTGATTTTCTTTTGCACACGCAATTTCAAGTTCGATGCAAACATTTTCTAAAATTACAACAGCAATAAGAGAGGAGAAAAAAAAAGCAGAAAAAAAAACGCCATACCAATTGTTAAAATTAACGTTAACATATTTGTTTTTGCACTATCATTATTTACTTTTCAATTACCGAATGTAAAATTGTAGCTGTGATCTCACGTAGATCACGTCTTGACATTTGATTAGTGGTTTTATTTCACGAAAATTAGTATTTCTTATCACTAGTAGGTATTTATATATGTAATTGAAATTGAATTATAGCTTGGCACGCGGCATTAAATGCAAATAAGCACAAATATGTATGGTGTGTAAATATATGCATACATAGTATATGTATGTATGTAACGAAGTGGAGGCATGTGTAAATACAAACCAACATACAACTATTAACTATAAACAATATAAATGTTCTTATCTGTATATATGTATGTATGTATATACTAGTTACATGAATATTATAAGTATTATCAATTCGAATAGCGAAACTGATTGAAATGATAATGTGCTAAAGATCAGCATTGAAAGACACACGTTACACAAATATACATACAGAGAATTTTAGAAAATATACAATCAAACGTACTTGCTCATATAGATTTCATCAGCATTTTTCAAAAAAAAAAAAAAATAACAGTTTGACATTTGATTGAGAATGGAATTTTTTTTAAACTTTTCTGCTTTCGTAGTAAAATGAAATATTTAAAGTAAAAAACTTAATTAATTACTTTACATTACATACATATATAATACATATGTACATACATCATTTCAATAAATTTTCTAGCAATTTTTAGTTGAACTGATTGACCTATATGCATGTATGTACATAGGTACTTATGTACTATGAATATACCTAAGCTAAATTGGAATTTATAAAAGCGTAAGTATGTATGGAAAAATATTGCGTGTAAATTTAATCAAAATATACAAAAAAATAAAAAATATGAGTATACTGCTTTTACATTTTTTTTTAATCTTCGCGAAGCGTTGCTACAAATATTCATGGAAGTTTTTAAGTGACAAAAGCTTAAGTAAATAGTTTAGAAGCTCTTAATTGTTATAAAAATATTTTTTTTTGATTTTTTTTTTAATTTTTTTCTGATTTATTATTCATCACGAAGCATATTCAAAGATAATTATTGAATAGTTCAAATTAAAATCATTTATTAATTATTTTAAAAGTTGTTAATTGCTGAAAAAATATTTATTTGTTTATTTATCAGATAGTTAATTATTTTCAAAATATTCTGGTTATTTAAAAAAAACTAATAAATAAAATTATGTGCATTTTTTATTGAAAATCTATTATTTTAGGAAAATTATAGTTGTCCTTAACTTAAATTATTTTGGCCAAGATTAGTGTTTGGCGCGTTTTGAAGTTTTTTTTTTTACAAATGATACCTCCGCTACTATTTCCCTGATACAAATACTCATACATACATACATATATCTTAGGTGGTGTTGTATCCTTGAGCAAAGCGCCAAAATGTAAGAAGTATTCAATCGGAAATGATGTATGCACATATATACCTACAGACTTCAGAAGAGAATAAGAGATAGACACACGGAATGAGAACTAATAACTAATTAAGGATGCATCACAGCTAAGCAACAGCGTGAGTGGCGCGAAGAAGCTTCGTATAGGCATTCGTCTCGTCTAACGGAGCACTGTAGCGAATTGTATAATGCATTAGCCAGTCAATTATCGTAGCCCATAAATACTCTCAGTAATAATATATATATGTATATATTATATATAATATAGATATATATTTATATATATAGGATACCCAGATAGCATTTATAACAGTGAAATGGCAGGAAAACTGTCGCAGATCACAGCGATTATAGAGCGTCAACTATATATTGTATATATATATCATATATACATGAATCAAATTTAACTTGTTGAATCTATTTTAAGATTCTGATCGTATTTTTATCGTCACATTTATTTATTCATTCATTTATTGGCTTTTATTCATTATCATACTCGTATAACTATATACATAAATAGTTCTAGAATTTCCTTTCGAAGGATGACTGAAAAGCTCAGAGTTAAGCGTGTAAAAAATAAGTACATGTAAAATCGGAAAAGAAAAAATTTTAACATGACTTAGAAGCATTTTTAGTATATTTATTTATTTAGAAAGTTAATTAATATGCATTAAATTAATTTATTATACTTGTTTTTTTATTTTCCTTTTTTTAAATTTTTTTATTTATTTTTTTAATTAATAAATTAATTAATTTTTTTTTTTTGTTATTATTTTCTATATATATAGTACATATATCTTAGGTTGGGTTAGGTTTATTACCGACCGATTGCCTTGACATTTTGTCAGATTGCTATTATGCTTGCTGGTTGGGTTATGATGCCGGTATTGTTATTGTATTTCTCCTTGTTTCATATAAAAGTTGTGTGTAAAAATATTTCAGGAGCAAAATGGAGTTTAAAATTGCTATTAAGTTGCATATACAATATATACATAATTGTAAGTATCAACGTTACAAAAATCATGATAAATCGGCGATAAATAGCACTACGGTAGCCGCGCTACAGTATAAACTATAGATCTACAGTTTGACGTAAACTAAGCACTTTTCCATTGGTTTTCTCATGCTCTATTTTTTTCAAATGAAAATAAAAAACTTAAATTTACCACATAGTAACACAACATTTCATACAACGGCGTTATTAGAAACAAATATATATTGACGTCACAAGTATTTATTAATACTCAAAATTAAATCCCTTTTTTAAGAATTTTAAAAATAGTAAGAAATACATTAAAATCACTGCACGTGCACACTTGTTAATATATACATATTTAAAATGAGTAACATACGAGTACAGCACTCCAGTTGGCTTAAGTAATTGAAATTGCGCTATTTATTATGACATGTGATTTGCGATTGCGTTTAGATTTTTTGTTGTTTAAATTGTTGAATTAGTAAGCGATATTTGAAGTCTTACAAAATTTAATAAAAAAATGTATTAAAGATTATTAAAGAAGAAATGTTTTCATACTCTTATGGTATGTATGTATGTATGTATATTTAGAAATTGGTAAAATGCAACAACTGGTACTTTTATTGCTATGAGTAAATAGTAAATATATATAGTATATATAGTATATAAAGATAGTATATAAAGATAATAAAATGCATTTTTTTTTGTATTTTTATTACTATGACAAGCTATAATTAGAAATATTATATGGAATAAAAGCGCATTTTTGAATTATTTTATTTGTTCTATGAAGCAAAGCAGGTACTGGAAATCTCTACCTAACTTGTTTTGCAATAAAAAATTATATAATATTTTTTTTATCAAACTTACATTTATATATCACATCAGACGTATTATTAAGCGTATTTTATGAAAATATTAGCCCAAAAATAAAACTTTACCACCTAATATTCGCTTTCTTCTATTGCTCGACTTAAACCAACAATGGAATTTAATTTCTTAATAATGTAGTGGCACAGCATTGATCGCCGAAAGCTGCAAAAATGATGTTTCTGTATTGTTTTTATTTTTATTTGATGCTCTAAAAGAAGTTTAAAATTGATTGAAGATAAGTAAAAAAAAAAAAACTTTATTAAAAATTTTATTTTTTACTTCATACATATTTAAAGAATTTGGAAGGAATTA